ATATATATATATATATATATATATATATCTCAACATATTTTCCTTTTTGACCCTATATGGACTTCCTAATTTTTTAGTATGTCTGAGATGTCTACTAAAATGTATTCCCTAAACACTGTACTGATTTCTTAATCTTTTCTTTTCCTGTGTTCAAGTTTGAGTTGGGGTGGGGAGAAAAGCCATGAGGTCTTGTACCTAAAGAAACAGTTCTTTTGGCCTTTGAATGCTGTGACATATACAAATGGAGCCCATCTAATGATTCTTGATGGAGCAAATCAAAAGATTATTCAACTCTAACTTCTCAAAGCAAATAACAACATTAGTATTAGTGTTTTTTATTTGACAACTGAACATAGAGTCTTTTAATGTTTTAATTTTATCTTGACAAAAGTTATCTGCTGTAAGAAAAAAATAGTCAAACTTCAGCATAAAGAGCATTCTTTGAGGAGATTAATGAAATATGAAACTGTAGACATATTCAATCATGAAATATATGGAACTGTAGGAATGCACGAACTATATGAGCTTTGACGCACATACTAATAGAAACCTATATGCATGAATACTCTGTTAGGGTATTATAAAATATTTTTTGGGTTAATATTTTGTATATTTGAACTCAGCTTGTTCCATTGATTTATAACTTCCATTATTATAGCACACACTGGAAGTTTTTCATTATTTTTCTTCTGCAACTGAAAAAATTAGTTTGTGAATCAATAGTTGTGCTTCTTTCTGTTTTTATTGGCCATTCAATTGTCAATATGCTTCATGATTACCACTGGTGGATCTGTATAGATTAGTATGCACGATATATCTATATTTTAATTGGTTACATTACCATATATCTCTTATATGGAGGTAGCAATTTGTTTCATTATTTTAGCTAAGGATTTATCTCGACTTTTATACTAAAAATTTGTTGCTTCATATGAAAAAATGTGCCTTCCCATAGTGATTTAGATCAGCATGGATTTATTTACCTTCAAACCTTCACAGTCTGATGATTTTGAATGGACAAATTGATTCATTTATGGAATCCATTGGAAACAATATTCTCTTCATTACTTTTTCACATCTCTCCTTTAATTCTTTCAGAAATTACTTTCTTCACTTGAGCAAAGATAGGAAAATACAAAATGACTCGTCCTATCAATTTGATAATATAGTTGGTGCATCCTTTAAGATGCTTTTGATGCTCTACCACAACTTTGCAACTACCTTCTGCATTTCCATGGACATCTGCTGCGCACTCCTATCATATCCCCCATGCTCCTACTATGAAGATTTTGATTACAACTCTGTTGATGCATCTTTCTACGTGGCCAAGTATTAATCAATTTATAAAAAATCCTTCCGTTGCATTACCTCCGTGCCATTATCAACCTTAGTACAAGTATCAGAAGGCTCCTTAACAATGATTTTCGACCGAAGTACCTATCTGAAGTGGCCTATCAATAACGCGGCGCAAGCGAATGCCAACACTCCAAAAATTAAGTATGTTGAAGCGAGCATAGGTGATTCATACACCATCAGGAGATTATAATTCTAGACCCACAAGCATTCTCATCGTTCTCTGAGGTCCCCAACAGTTCTGATCAGGAAGAGCCTGAGAGACCGACCAAAGTTTTGAAACTAAGGAAGCCTATTCATATGGGCAAATTACAGATTAATAGGGATCAAAATACTTTTTGAAAACCAATGGATCCTATTACTAACTTGGTCCAAAAATTGATCCAAGCTTCAAACCTGACCTTTTTATGTAGTTTCAACTATCCATAAATCAAAACTCTCTAATCTCTCTCCAAATCCTGAATTTTATATTATCTCCATACATTACCACTTCTACCACTATTTTTATTGTCCCTCCTCTCTTCCCTCACTATTCTCCCTCCTGTCCTTTCAAATATATATATGAAGAGGTTGTGGGTAGATTAAAAATGACTGATTTGGTGATGTATGTTCAGCATACTTTCTAATGCTCAACCATTTAGCATCCTTAGATTCTTCCTATTAAGTCAAAATAACATTGGCAATAACCACTTTTATTATATAGTATTTTATAATCATAAGAATATAATATGTTATGCATATTGGATTGCTCATCCCCCCTCAAAGAACCAAATCTAATAGAATGTCCAAAAGACTTTGACATAAAGTCCATTAGAAAAGACTTAAAATGTGATTCTATGCGAGACGCACATCCTCCTGCTCGACCCATTGAGTTGTATTGATTTAAGACATGCAGGATTGATGCCAAGATACAAAAGAAAAGACTAATTTGAAGGTGGCAAAATGGTAACTATACAAACGCTACCGGAGTTGTAGTGGAAATGCAGTTCCCAGATAACATTGAACAGCAAGATAATATAATTTAGGGTGATTAGAAAACAAAGGATGCTTACGTCGAGCAGGCGCTGTACGACCTTAGGCCGCTTCTTTGGCCGCCGGCGAGGCCGCGATCCCGTCACCGCGTAGATGTCCTCCTCGATCTCCTCCGCCGTCAGCGACACCGTCAACCCGATGTTCCTCTTCTTCTCCTGCTCGTCCGCAGCCGCCGCTTCCGCCACGGTAGGAGCCCCCGCTCTCGCGCATCCCCCGTGGCCGTTCCCATTCGGCGTCCGCCTCGCCCGTAGGTTCCACGGCCTTGCGACCTCCTGAGCGGCCCCCATCACAGAATCCGGCGCCGCAGTGTTCATCCGGTCGACCGCCTCCCGGAGGTGGCCCATAAGCTTCGCCCTCAACTCCTCCAAACCCCCGTCCTCGCCGCCGCCCTCAGCCGGAGGGGCCTCCCGGCAACCGAGATGCCCCGCGGCGGTGGTCCGGTCGCCACCGTTTCGGTCGACGGCAGCGCGGCGGGTCGCCTTCCGATCTCCCCATCTCGGGAGGGGGAGACGGTGGCGAAGGCTCGGCTCGAGATCGCCGTGCGGTGGGTCCTCCGCAGCCGCCATGGAGCGGGACGCCCAACGGTCGCCCGGAAGGTGACGGAAACTGATCTTTCTACCAGCGAAAGAAGGCGAGAAGGGCGGTGGTGGAAAGGCGGTGACAGTTACAGCCGCCGCCGAGGGAACAAACACACAGAAAAATAAGCCAGGGGGAGGCGGAGAGGGGTTAATCTCAACGGCGTAAAGATGGGCATATTGGGAAATTAAAACGCCGCGTGATTGCTCTCTCAAAGTGGCGCACCCACAATATACCCGAGCTAGAAAGCTGGTTATGTCGGTGTATCTCGGTGGGTCATCTACCGGGTGAACAAACGGGTTTTCGATGGGAATATTAACGAAACTCTTTGGGCAGTGATTCGTTAGTTGACACGTAGGCTGTCCGGAAGTACTTACTGGCCTCTCGAGCACGTGAGATTCACGTGGGACGTCTCCTCTCTCTGTCATGACAAGTTGATGGTCGGTGACATGGTTGACTCTACCCAATTCCAAGCATACAACTATGTACTAAAACGTAATTACATAAAATTAGAAAATAAATATTTATTAAGAATTAAGAAATGTAAATTACATGAACTTTCTGCAAATATATATGTTTTTATTTAATATATTTATTATCTCTTTTGATGAGATGAAAAGACTCTTAAGGCCCGAAGACATCGTTATAATTTCGGAAACACCCCTGGCCCTGTCTTCGATGACAATGTTAGCGAGGGTATGATGACAGCATTCATCAGGGCACGTCTCCTGTGTCATCGGGTTCGTGGAAGCCGGGAATCTCGCCCTCTCCCCCATCTTCCTCTTCGCCCCAGGAGGTGCATCTTTCTCCGATCCACTATTTTCCTTCTCTTAATGGTTTAGAGATCTTGCTGCTATGTTCTGTAGTCTTTTTCTTCTTCCTCACTGTTTTCTGCAAGGAATTGCGGCCGTGATGGATCTGCGATTTGAGCCGCAGTGTTTTTGTTACTTGAGGCTCACTTAATTCAGTCTAGGGCTTTACTCTGTTCTTGTTATTGGATCTGTCATGGAACTCATTTGGTTGGGGGATTGTTGTGGCTTTTGGTGCCTGGTGGAATGGGTTAACCATCTGTTAGAAATCTTACAATGATGAGTGAGTTAAACTGGTCAGAATTAACATATATTGAGTCAGACACTAATTCAATCCAAAAGCTTAAGCTTATAGATTGCGGGTTAGACTCGGATATATATCATATCCCCCTATTCATGTTGAGCTTAAGTGTCTCCCCTTAATCTTAATCGTAAGGATCTTAATCTTAACTGTAAGGGTAGGTGGTGTGACCAACTTTGTTCGCACCGCAAGCTTAACTTTAGTTACCAATCTCATGCTGATTGGTCAGGATTAACATATATTCAGTCGGACACCAATTAATCCAGAAGCTTAAGCTTATAGATTGTGGGCTAAGCTCAGATATATATCATCCGACTCTCTCGATATTTACCAATGTGAAACTATTCTCTTGTTCCTCTTCAATCTTTCCTCACACATGAATATTTTCTAACACCGTCTTTGTCTTGGTACTCGATCTCTGTTATGCTTCTACTTTGAGAAACCGAATGTGCTTGTCAAATTTGTTCTCATGCATCCTCAGATGGCACAGTGTTCTTGCAAAAGGGTTCTGATTGTTTTTGTCTGGGATGACATCTCCTCACACGAGTTTGTGCTCTTTCCACGTTTTTCTCCTCCGCCTGAGTTACATTTATTGCATGAGTCCTCGAGCAAGTGATGTGTGATCATCTAAGTAGCGGGGATTCTGTCGCACTGCCTTCTTTTGCATTCTCGAATGGTGTATTAACCATGCATGGTCGTCCACTTGGATGTATGGTTGGGATGCGATCGCTCCCTACACGATTAAGGTCTTGAGTATTGATCAGTATGAATGTTCCATGGTTCTTACATCGAATATGAAAAGAAGATATGGTTTTCATAGTACTTGATGATGCATTTTCTTCAATCTTCTGTTATATTTTGGTAATTGCAAACTGAAATCAGGCAATCAATTTGCAAGGCTTGAATGGCAAATTTTCAATTTTTGTACTCTTTGGGGTTGGACTGTTACATGGTGAGATGACATTTATGATGATTACCTTAGATATGTTAGTTTATATCACCCGTGTTCATAAGAATCTGCACTTTAACCTTGCGACCTCTTTATCCTAGTTCTTTATTTTGCCTCTCATCTCAACTTTATGGTGTATGTGGGAGCACAACCTCATGCTGATACCTGCATCTCATACTTCAGCTTTGATTTGTGATTTACTTGCAATGTAAATCTTTGAATCAGAATAATTGAGTCCAATCCAGCTTTAGTTATAGTTTTTTTTTTTAATATTTTTCCTGCATGATTGTGGTACTTTGCTTAGGATGTTTCTTGAGTTACTCATCATGCATTTTGAATCCTGGAAACCATCTTTTGCCTTTGGTTCTTCCTAGAGTAAAGTAACTTTGTAAAACACAGACTGAAAGCTTTCATTGTGACCCCACTTTGCAGATTTGTCAAACATATATTGAAATATTAGTTTCTTAATTTATTATTGACTTTCAGATGTTTAAATATTTTTTGGCAGAATTTCATCTATCTGGCTTTATCTTAACCAACCTTATACTATTTTCCCTTAATCTGCTCGTTGTCATAATAATTTCTGTGAAATATTTAACAAGTTGGTCCTCGATCTATTCTTTTGATAGGTACTAGAAGATGGATTCCAGCAGGCGTCAGAGTGGAATTCAACAATTGTTGGCTGCAGAGCAGGAAGCACAGCGAATTGTCAATGAGGCTAGGAATGGTTGGTTCCTTCATTTTTTAATATCTTTTTCCTGTATGTAATGAAGAAAACAAAAACAGATCTTAATTAGTAATATATAGCTTTTTCAAATGTGATCTTCACATAATATACCTATGTATTAGCTGTTGGTTTTAGTATTCCTTGAATTTGGAATGTTGTGTAGCAGCTAAAAATTTAAATATTCAACCAAGAAAAGAAGTTTATGTTGATAGCCTTGAAGTAAGTTTATGAGGGGATACAATGTATATTCAATGAATTTGTATGTTTTAATTTATCTATCTTATGTCTAGCAGTCATGGGGTTGCTATATAAGGAACTTACTGTTGCATGATTTTAATTAGTTGCTATTAGTGTGTGTCATAGGAAAAGCAAATGTTTCTAGAACTACCTTTGACCAAGGTTTGAAATTTCAAACTGGTACCAATAATGATTCTTGGGTAGGCTGGTATACTGCTGGTGTGGTTGTGCATGCATGTGTCGTTACATCCCCATGCCAACTAGTATGAATTCAACCAGAGAACAGGGGAGGTTGGTGGGGAGGCACAGGAGGAGGAAAAGGAGACACTGATAGAGGAAGAGGAGGCGACCATGTTGGAGGATGAGGCAGAGGAGAAGGTAAATGATGATGCAACAGGCTGAGGAGAAGATGGAGAGGCAGCGGTTGTATAGGACCACATGCAAAGGCCGGCATAGAAGCAAAGAAGGTTGCTGTGGCTGAGGTGAAGGAGAAGATATGAGAGAGAGAGAGAGAGAGAGAGAGAGAGAGAGCTGAGAAGCCACCAGGGACAGAGGACAGCTTGTCAAACTAAGTGTCAAGCGTTAGGCTTTCCTCCAAAGATTCAATGTATTTGTCAGACTGTCTAACACAATAAGTGTTTCAGCCAATAAACACTATTTTGAGTTAGACCAAGCAAAATGGTACTTTCATGTACTAGCCATGGCTTAGATTTGTAAAAGCTGGCTCGTACCAGCCGTGCGGTCAGTTTTTGAACCTTGCTTTCAACTATGTTTGAATCAGTCTAACATGTCCACTTTTTATGTGTAAAATTCATTGTTGGTAAAAATCTTATAACATTTTAATCAAATTATTTTGGTGATATATATACACTATATATTCTGCTTGTTATTGCCCTTCATTTTCATAAAAACAAACTGTCATCATCTAAATAATTGGGTTATTTTCTTTTGATTAAGGGAACTGAACCCAAGTAGTTGAGATATTGTCATTGTTGCCTCCGAAGATGTATCTGGGGAAAACAATGAGATAGACAATTTTAAGATCTACTAATTTGTGGTTTGTATATCTTTTCTAAATAAATATTGACTATCTATTACCGCATGCTGTGTTGTCTGTAAGTACTACCTGAATGATTAGATGATATACATATGAAGCTAGTAATGAATTATATTTGTAATGCCTAAGTTTGTGATACTTTACGCAGCTAGAGTCCTTATTAATAAGGTTCAGTTCCAACTTTTGATATTTTTATAGCAAATTATTGCTAGTCAGTGATTTATGAACATGAGTTACATAAAAGTTGCTATGATATGATAACTTATGTCAAGATATATAAAGTATTTTGTTGTAGTACTTATCGCTATGGCAGTTTGTTAGTGTGGTGCCTTTTATTAGGAGGGTAATTTTGTGCTTATCAAGTATCTCTATTAAGTTCTTAGTTCTATTGGTCTTTAAGAAATTAGACTCATTGGATATGAAAAAGAATTCTATTTATATGAACTTCATATATGTAGGATTAAAGTGAGTGATCTTCTTAGTATTTTTTGCATGTTTATTTTTTTGGTGGTGGGCTAGAGGGGATATTGTAATAACTGGTAATGAGTTATTTAGATAAAGTTGGACCACATTCCTCGATAGATTAAACAACCTTATGGTAGAGAGGTGCTGAAAAAATGCCACAAAATTTTGTATTCGTATGTGCATATGTTGCCACAAATACTTGTAAGGAATTATGAGGTAGTGGTTACTAGGAGATTAGCAAGAACATAAATATGCTCTCTTGGAGTGGATTTTTGTACTATTGAATTTTTTTTCAATTCAACATTTGTTTTAGTTTCCTTTAATTTTATTGCTTGAAAATTGTTTATGCAACTTTATTATCTGAGTTCTTTAGGGTGATACAATGACTAGATTATGATAAACGAAAACTAGAATTGCCGCAAGCAATAATTGGAGTTCTGTTGTACTGATTAAACTTTAAATTTCTAATTGAGGCCCAACTCATGAAAGGGGTGGTCTTACTCAGAAACGGTTTGTAAACAACGACAACGACCTCAAGACAACTCAAAAACAGAGAATGATGAACTTCAACTTGTACATAGCGAACCCTGACTTGTTGCTGTTAAGTAGTTCTTGTTGAAATAGTCGAAAGCAAAAAAAGATCATAAGAAAGCATGAGAGAATTATAGTCTCTGGTATTGTGCATAAACTTGGAGCCCATATAGATGGCTACTATGATAAGAGATTCTTATGCAGCTGTTTACAAAGATACGCTTTGGTTAATTTCTTTCTATCTTTCTCACAGACCTCTTCATGAGGTTGAACTATGATCTTAAATAAATTGATGATTTTCTATCCCCGAATTTATCATTTCATAATTGGAGCCTCTAACTGATCTCTGCTAGAAACAAAAACAAATCTGTGAAGCTTCTACCAATTGACGAAAATAACGTAGAAAGACTCATTTCGGTTTAGATTATTAATTCTTTGAGTATCTGTTTATTTTCTTATTGTTGGAGGAACTAATTGGAAAAACGATAAGGGTTTGGCATTGCAAAGGGAGCTTATTCAGGGTCTAAAGTTGTTGGATGAGTCAGCTAATAAGAGTACAACCTTGTATCACAGCTAAAATGGCAAGGTTGAAGCAGGCTAAAGAAGAAGCTGACAAGGAGATTGCCGCATATCGTGCACAAATGGAAGCCGAGTTCCAGAGGAAGGTTGCTCAGGCAAGCGCCGGCCACCCCTTGGTAACGGGGCCTTTTATAGCTTCCCATGTTCCCCACTAATCTACTACTTTCTTGTGACAAAACAGAGCAGCGGAGATTCTGGTGCAAATGTAAAGCGCCTTGAGCTAGAAACCGAAGAGAAGATCCAGCACCTGAAGTCACAGGCAGCAAATATCTCCCAGGATGTGGTTCAAATGCTTTTGAAGCATGTGACCACCGTGAATAATTAGGGATCATCTCGTGAGATCAACGCCATCAAATAATTTTGAACACCCAATTGGTCAGTTGAGTCCAAACTTTTATCTGTAAGCATACGATGCAGTATTTGTGGTTCCTTGAATTAGCCGCCGCTTTTGTCCTTCACCGTTTACATTATCCGCATGGAGTTTATGCGCACTGAGGTGTTATCCTTTGATAAAGTATGGAACGTTCGTTAAATTAAGTTCCTCGATTAACATGTCATCCTTAAACTCGTTGTTATCATTTTTAATCTTTGTAAATAAATAATTTTGGATATTGTTGTCTTGGGGATGTAATCATAGTTATTCTCGTGCAATTAATTATTTATGTAGGGAAATAAAGGAAAACATAAATACATATAATGGAACTTAATTATTCTCCAGCATTCGTCACTTTTCGTACTTACATGAACATATAGTTTCATACGCGTGTCGGACTTCGATGACAGATCCTCGTGGAACGCAAGCCAACCACTAAAGTCGATTCCTGCCGGGCTCCACGTTGAGGTCAATCTCCAAGTCGGCCCCACCGCCATAGCTCACCTTCCCGTCCACCGCTGACGGAGAACCAACGCCGTCATCTCCATCGGCAACCCCCTCGAAGTCCTCCAGTACGAACCTCGGCCTCCACCTCGGCTCCGCCACCTCCCTCCTTGCGATCTTCTTTTCGCCTCGGTCGTCGCCGCCGCCGTCTCGGATATCGTGGTGCTCCGACGACAACGACGACTTCGCGTCCTGCAACCGCCTGACGATGGCGAAGAACCGTTCCACCTCGTCCTCGGTCACCCGTCCGCGATCCTTCCCTTCTCCCTCGTCATCCGCGGCCGCGGCCAGCTGCCGTTTCCTCTTCTGGCTCTCCTCCATCGATCCCGGCGGCGGTAGCTGAGGCTTCTTGTCGTTAGGAAGAGCGAAGACGACCGCATAGCCGCATCTTTTACCACCACCGTAAGGAAAGGAAAGCAGAAGGCTCCAGAAGAGCGTAGGCGGTCACACCGATGTATGCCGTGTCGGATGATTCGTCCGTAGAGCTGTAACGCTGCATGCTCCATCAAAGATCACATCGAGTGACTTCCATGGCACTCGCCACCATTAATGAGCTTGCGCGGCAGAAAGGGACGGAGAGACGGAGGCCACAGAATTGTTGACCGCAAGAGCGTGGAAGAGACAAATACCGCTCGAGTCGGCATGCTTTTATTGTCTCCAGAAACAAAGGATGATGTGATAAGCTTCTCCTCTTTTGTCGTCCTAATGACGAATTACATGTAGGAATGTACTTCTTCTTCTCTAAATTACGATTCGTCGAAATTGAGTTATAAATTGATTATAGTCTCCATTGATGAATTTTATTGTCTCCTTTTTTTCCCTTTTTTTTCTATATTATAGTGTTTTTTTTATTACATTACAATATTTTCCAATATTATTGAAAAAACCACAATGTGGTGTAAAAATACTATAACATAATATTTTTACAAAATTTACACAAAAATATTATGTTACAATATTTTTAGTATTCTCGAAAACACTATATTATAGTTTTATTATTGAAAATATATTAATACGGTGTAAAAATATTATAACTAAACCGATTTACTGACTGATCTATAGGAAAAAAATATATTATCGATATTTATGATAAAATAAAACTTTTTTAAAAAAGAAAATACTTTTCAGAAAAAAAAATCCAAAAAAAGCCATATAGGAAGGACATGTAAGTGAGAGCATGAAGACAAATCCAAAGACTCGCTCACCGTGACGTAGCTACCCATCAACCGCGATGACGTCAGTCTAGAGGAGGGATTCCTTCCACGACATTTACCGAATGAAGACCTTAAACAGTAATTCCACCTTCTTCTTCTATTTTTTTTTGGGTGCTAATGTTCTCTCTATCACCCATAAATAAAATATAAAAATAAAATAAAACCAAATATAATTGTCTAAAATGACCTAAAAATATCAGTTCTTATTTATGATAAGTTTTAGTTCCAGTAATTATAACATATTTTTTTTATTAAAATATAAGTGACAAAGGTAAGATTCGAACTTAAGATCTTATGATAAAAAAAGAAAAAAAAATAAATGAGAAAGATGAAATTTCTTTTTCGTTCATAAATATCTCTCGCATGAACGCAATTAAGAATCATACTCGTAATTAATTAATCTATCATTTACTCGGACACCATATCAAGCTTCAACTTTCAATGGTGGGTCCGATGGAGTTGACACCGCCCACTAAAGGCCGGACAAGCCAACGTAGACCAAATTAGGTTTGAGGTCCAACTGGTCGAGGTGAGATCGAAGGGTCAATTTTAGAAAATGACCAAAGACAATGAAACTTCGATGATTTTTCTTATAAAATACTCCTAATTTAAGAAATTTTCATATCTTCTTTTTTATATTTCAAACAATACTTTTAATTCAAAAAATCAAGATTATCTATCAAAAAAAAAAATTGTTTGTTATCGCAATTCTTAGTCCATTGAAATTACTGTAAAACCTATTTGAAAACACTAGAAATTAATTAAATAAAATTAAAATATACTAGAAATCATTTGATATATCGTACATATTACGTTTACGTTTCAAATATATATTTATAATAGTTTAGAGATAATATCGCTTAAATAGAAATAAAAAAAAGTAATTTATTATAGTGTTTTGGCCATCAGAACAACTTAAAATCTACTTAAAAATAAATGGTCTATGAGCAATGATAATCAAATATGATCTTACTTATAATGATTTTCAATAATATTCATATTTTCAGTGCCTCGATAAAAGTATTATAAACGCAATTGAAAAACAAGCCAAACGAAAATGTTGCAAATTTTTAAGGGGGTATTTTGGATCTTTTCAAATTAAAAATATTATTTGAGAAAAAGTAAAATGAATGTACTGATTAGGAAATACCTAAAATATAAATATTTTATAGGAAAATATCCTAAAATTAATGTATACCATTTGTTTTGATGTTCTAATAGGTATAATTCATAATTAAAAAAAACCAAAATAACTTAGCTGGATTTGAAATACTCCATGAAATATGTCATGATTTATTCGACGTAACATATTCTTGAAATATTATCATTTCGAGGATGAAAAAGAGTTTATATTGGATTTAATCTTAAATTTTTTTAAAGAATATTGCTGTGTGTTTAGTGAATGAATATTGCTTTCATAGACTCTCTTGATGTGACACATTCAACCAACTTTTTGAATCATATTAGATTTGAAGAAAATAATCCAATAAAAAAATTTAAATGATTAATTTATGAACCAAAAATCCATATATTCCATCGAATTATTTCAAGTCCTTAATGACATGGGATTATTATTTGGTCCACTTTCTTAATGTCCAAACTCCTATACCACGAACATGAACACGAACATCCCTCCCCTTAACCCTAAACATCTAAATGTGGTGTCCCCAACCACCGTCGGCGTGATGAACGTGAATCCTCAACCCTGAGTGCAATGCTCTCATCAAGTCAACATCACACAGTGAATGAGTTGACATTGTATCCGACGCAGTCCGGCGTCCACCCTACGTCATCACGATTACGCCAGCTGAAGCAGCAAGCGCACGACCCACATCGCGGAGGTTGACTCAGACGCGCAGAGTGCCGAGGAGATCGCCAACGTCAACGAGGACGCGTCTCTATAAGAAACATGCCGCCTCCTCTCTTCCCATCTCGTCTCAACTCGATCACCTCCATCCATCCATTCTGGAGGATGGAACAAGGGAGCGAGAGAGGCAAGAGAGGGAGCCAGGCATCAACTCCACCTCCAGGAGGAGGAGGCAGCCGCCGAGAGGAGGAGGAGGTGGACAAGTTCTACGCTTTGCTGGAAAAGATAAGAGCGATAAGAGAGTCGTTGAGGACGAGCAGAATCAAGAGGATGAAGACGGAAGCAGCTCCGGTTTGGCGGCCTAAGTTCGAGTTGGAGGACTTCATGGAGGGCGGCGAAGCTGGCAGCGCCGCTGTGGGCGAACACAGTCAGAAGAAGGCAGAGAGAAAGGAAGAAGAAGAAGAAGAAGACGAAGACGAGAAGAAGAGTAGTTTAGATCTATGTCTGTCTCTGTAAATGAATGTTTGTACAATTCGCATGCATCGGTGAAGAATTCCACTGCTTGTCCAACTCGCTGCTAATGTCTCTTCTGTGTTCTTTCTCTGGGAGGGAATGGCATCATCAGGTGTGAATGCCGGAGGAACACTGTGCAACAGCTACAAGTCAATGTAAATGGATTATTATTCTTCTGTTGGAGGTTCCAAATGTGAGTTGGACTGAAGGAAACAAGTCGTATAGATCGGAATAACGAGAGAGGAAAAGGCCGTAACGTATAGACCGGTAAATGCTGTCTTTTCATTGCGTAAAGGCAGACGAGTCTGCCGAGAGCCGATCTTTTCGTGGATGAACTAAAGACCACATGATGAGGGTGGCAGATGCTGCTGCTGCTGCTGCTGTTCATGACATGTCGAGGGGACCAACTCCCCCGCTTGAGTGCAGACGAAAAGATGACATGAAATACCAACGCCGGCCGACCCGCCATGGCTAGATTAGATTACGACGGACATGTGCTGGTGGATCGGATCGAGTGGATACCCAATCCAAACAGCCCTCTTTGGCACTCGGCAGCAGCATGTAACGATTGTTAGACTCATTCCGTACCCTCTTTGGCATTTGATAGGGGCAATGAACAGATAGAATAATTGACAACTATCAACTTCGTCGATTGATTCAAAGTCATTAAACAGTTTTAATAGTAATTCATCCCCTCTGAATCTTGTAAATTAATCTAAATCTCTTAATGTGTGATTGGATCAAAAGTGATGTAATCTTTTATTAATTGGACCAACTCAAAAACTTCAATACTATAAAAATTAAGAGAACAAATAAAATGACAAAACATTTATGCTAGCATTATCAACAACTCATTACTTTATGCCATCAAAACAAAGGGAAAAATGCAAAGATAGCTACTAATGGCAAATAAAATGACAATGGTTCGAAAAGCAACGTTCCTACCACGCTAGAGAGAGAGAGAGAGAGAGAGAGAGCTCCAAAAACAAAAAAAGAGGTCCAAAAACATACACCTACATAAGATAACCTGAAATGTGTGCGTCACAGTTGCTTAGAACACTAAAACCTAAGAATAGTGGCGGCACAAGAGTCATCGCCGAGTAGGCTGTCCACCGCTAGTAGCGTATCTCCCAAACTCTGATGGTT